CAAAAAAGTACTCCAGAGTGTTGTTCAGCATGGGGGTGAGTAGAAAATGAAGGCTAATCATGTTTTGGGTGTACTATTCCTTTAACATGGAACCCAATGTAATCTAAAAAGACAAGCAGAGGTGACAAACCTTTATATTTGTTGTTCTCACTCTTTTTGTGAATAAGCTGCAGATATGAAATCAACCACAATCGAGGACGAGCGATAGCTGTCACTCAGACAGTAGAAACTTTTTTGAATTTTTTTTACGTTTTTTGTTCAGCGCTCATTTGTTCGGAAGGCTTTTTCCCTGTATAAAAGGATGTGGAGTTAAGGAACAAAAGTTTCTGCACCTTGGATTCTGTTTCCGTTATGCTTGTTGTAATGTCATCAACAAGGGGAGCCGGGCCCTTAGAGGTCAGTTTAAGCTGTTCTCTATGAACTAGAGCAGGGGTTGGCAACTTTTCCTTTTTTCTTTTCTTTCCTCTTTAGTGCCCCCTTGTGGCTCCTTTTTTTTATATGTTTATTTTAATATGGTGTGCAGGAGGTCAAACAGACATTCATGTTTTCCAATGCTGTAAACATTCGTATAATAAATTAAATTCAACAATAAATGTAAACATTTCTTTCAACGAAAATAAGCGTAATAGCCATAGAGATCAGTGGTCATAGCCTGAAACACACGATCAGCATGGCGCAGTTCCAGGTGAACAAAATGTGGGGGATGTCCCAGACCATAGATCACAAAGGTAAAAAAGGAAGATAGCTGATGAGATCAGAGAATTCAGGATGAAGCGAATCTTTTGCTTTCATTATCAATGCGGAAGGACTGTCTGAATTTTCTCTTTTTAATAAGAAGTTGTCAAAGAATAAAAAGAGTAACTTGGAAAGGCATTTCCAGATGAGGCATGCTAAATATACAGCCAATCATAAAGTTGGGAGTGAGAGAAACAAGTGCGATGTCAGGACTTCTGGGTAAATTACAGGAGTGTAAAGATAGATCTAAGAAGTGGATTGCATCTCTAAACTCTACTCCTGCTGCTAGTTTTGCTGCAAGCATTGACAACCGTTCACAGATTGAACAGGTAGCGCTCTGATGCAGGGACGGGATTTTTTTTCCTTTTTTCCACAATTTCTCAAAATAAAAATAACAGCAAAAAACACTGGTAACGGAATGTGAGATTACTGGGTTAGAGAGCTCTGCTCTGATGAATGTCAGTTCCTGCTTGGTTCCTCATGACTCATCAAACTCAACAGAAGCACATCCACCATAGATTCCTTTATTTTGTTTCTATCATTTCATCCATGCAACAAAACCTAAACCGAGGCAAGGTGGC